TGTAGAGTAGAATTTGCGTCACGAGAGTAGGATTTTCATTTCGTATTTTTGTCGGTCGTTCGGAATCCTACTCAATCTTGTTTTTTTTAATTTTTTATGTTCTTTATGGAACAATAGGTTCAATCATTAATACAGGTAACTGTATAAAGACAATAGTTACTGGATTAACTAAAAGGAATAGTGGCATTGTTCTACACTGCAATCTCAAGCTGTATATGCATGTCAGAAAGTAGAAAATAACTACATGTACATATAATGCTGAGATAATAGGGACACTGCATAATGGTGCTGCATATAAAAGTATTTTCTATCTCAAAGCAGTCACTACCTTACATGCAATTGAACCTTAATGTAAAAGTATTGACATCACAACTGAGGAGTAACTAATAAAAATATCACAGCTAGTCTTATAGTGGTGACATCACAAAGTAACAATGGAACAGTTGACAAAGAGCCAGAGGGAAGACCAAAGGAGCTCCCAGTCTGAAGGGGTGGCCTGTGGCTTATACAGTGTCTATTGAGGCAGTACTAGTATAGAAGGATACAACACCACAAACCATTAGCTAACATCACCAATAACATAAAGTCATTGAATCTAATGCAATGAAGACATTGTAATGGATCTAGAAACAAGTTTTTGGAGGTCAACTAACAGACCTAAAAGACAGAATAATAGAAGATTTCAGGAGACCAAGATCTTGCAAATTTGGAGACCAAAAGACTCTTAAACTCCCTCTAATCTAACAGTGGCCATTAATTCTCAATTATACATGCATCCAGCAATATATACACTACATGAATGCTATATATGGGCATAATAAATCATGATGAGGGACCTCCTGTATTCACAGTACATATACAGGACTCACCACTACTGCTGTTGGGGGCTGTGTAGTATAATAGCTATGCCAAGGACTGGAGCTTGAAGTAGTTTGATAGCCACCACCGGCAACTTGAGGAATATACTGTACAGACAAGAGATAGAGGAATCAGTAGCTATATTGTATTGACTGATACCTGAGGATGATGATTACCATTGAGAGTTGCTGCTTGTTGTATCATTCTGCTAGTGGGAAGACTGTGAAAAAGAGAGACAGTGAACATAGATATAGTCAAATATACTGTGGACTATCTTTACAATGAATCATTAATTCTGCAGTTCCTATAATGTATTGTAGTACAAACTCTCAATGGTCAAATGATCTGTATTGACATTACTGGCTAATTAATGTTGATGAACAATGATCAATTGTATGGCCGTAACTCAAAAAATTGAAGTCGGAATCAGCTCAAACTTTCTACACAGAATAAGGGCATCAATATGCATCAAAAAATGTAATAAAAATTTGGGGTGATTTCAGAGTCATTTTTTGGAAAAAACCAGTGGGCTATAGCCTTGGGTATTTTTCAGAATTTTGGCATTTTCTTAAAATGGCTCTAACTTGAAAAATTGCACTTGACATTGTCCCGAATACCTGATACTGCAAAAAGGAGGCTGCATGCCTATCTTATGCTCATAATGAATGACATTTGAGCTGTCATGAGACCGAGTCTAATTAGCATTACTGCTAATGAATCACATTTTATCCTCCCCTTTCTACTGCAGCAGCAGCAG